TAGTTACACCTAAAAATAACAACGAAATTTAATTGTTAATAAATTATAATCGAGTTTAACACCGGGTACAATTATTTAACAAAAGGATAAATAAATAATATATTATGTTTTCACAATATTTTTAGTTTAATATTAATTATCATACTAAAATAGCTGTATTATTTTTTTATCAGATAGAACAATCAATAAATCTACTAATTTTTTTTTTATATATCACCAAGCAACACTTGGATAATTATTAAATTATACTATCAAACATGCGAGAAAACGTGTGCTTAACAAATGGAAAACGATCCAATAAGTAAAAAAATAGAACACAATACATTCTACTAGTGGATTATCCATAATCAGATTGTTCAGACCAGTACACCATTTTCATCATGTTAAAAGCTTTACGAGCATATGTTTAGATTGCATCTAACTGACCACTTGCTGACACGTAATATACCAAAGTTGTGAAAGAAAAAAATTTAAAAGATTAACAATGATTTACTAAGGCCTTAGACCAACGGAATCTATGTATGTTCATTATATAATAATCTTTATCACACTACTAGTAGAAGTACTTAAACAAAAGCAACTTATAAAATCCTAAAGATATGTTTAAAATTGAAAAATCGATACAAATAGATTCTATATTTTTTAATTCTAATATTCAATTTATAGATTTTCTCCATATACGAGTATTATCACAAATTACACAAATTATTTTTCTTTACCTAAAAAAAAAAAAAAAAAAAAAAAAAAAAAATAGTTAAACTATAAAATGATAAATACTAGTTCATTCACAATTAATTATATTTTGATATTTTAATATATACCTACTATAAAAATGTGTCTTAAAGTGATTAAATAATCGTATAATAGATAAATATAAGAAACTTTATGTATATAAATAAAAATAGTATATCATATAATAACAATAAGGACATTATAAATATTTAAAAACCTTTATGCTAATTAATCAATCTATTTATTAAATTTCTAAAAAAATGTTCGAATATGATAATTTATAACTTTTAACTATTTAGTATTTTATAAAATTAATGTAGTATTACATCTATTTAAAATTTTACTAAGAAAAATAACAAAAACTATTACTTTAATAAGTACACAAAATATAATAACTCAGAAACTACACATTCATTTTAGTTAGATGCATACAAGTATTATATAAAACAAAAATTATATGCTTAACATTGTATGGTAAAAACGGCAATTTTCATTTAAAAAATAGAATTTGAATCTACAAAAGATACTTTTTAAATGTGTTATGTACGCTAATTATTTCAAACGTATTATAGTAAAACAAAAAAATACTCAGTGACCGCATAAAGGAATAACTGCTGAAAAACTCACTTTTCCTGAACTTTTATATTTTATATATAATAGCTTAACTTACATATTATACATATAATTGCTGTTTAATTTAATATTTTTAGTCTATTAAAATTTTCTTACTAAAAAACTTACATTAACCTATTTTTTAATTTTAATAATCTTGTGCAACTTACTGTTGATAAACATCAATTTAACTGTACCCAACTTAATTTAATTATATGTTTAAAATATATATTTTATGTAATAGCCGTTGTCATTATTAAATTATTTATTTATTTTTTCTTTTCTTTTGAAAATGTAAATCATTAAACTAAAAAAAAAAAATTGATGATGTATTTCTAATTTTTTTTAAATTAATCATATTTTTAATCAAGGCATGATTATATTTTGGTATAATCTATTTATTTTAAAGAATATTTTATATGTTATTCATATAATTTACAACCAATGGTAGTATAATATGATGTATTAAATGTATTTAATATATTATATTAAATTTTGTTTGGTCAATGAAAGGCATTTAAAAAAAAATATATATACAATATCAAATTTTAGTGTTTCATGAAATACTAGGTGGAGAAAAAAATGATTATTTATGACCTGAATATATTTTCATGAAATTAAATGAAATATATGTGATAGTATATACACATATAACAATTTATAGATTTTGTGTTTAATTCAACAATAGTAAACAAATATAAAAATTTAAAAAACATTTTTTAATAAAAATGAAAATTTCAAGAAATTACGACTTAAATTTTACTAAATTTTAAAAGTAAAAAAAAAAAGTATCCTTGACACTACTTAAAAAATTATATAGTTATAAATAATATTATATCCTTTGTTCATTTAAACTCATAATAAAAATATTTAAATATTTATTCTTGTTTTGCTTATATATTTGACAAAGCCAATTTTTCAGAGATAATTTATATGAATATTTCAAAAACCTTATTATTTGCTGTTATAATATATTAAACATTCATAATTTGTAAGTTATAAAATACCTACAGGAGGTTAGTAGAGAAGTATGTATTTAGTTTAAGCACGGTTATAGTCGAGGTTAAACATAAATGCATAATATGTACTGAATATAGGGTGTTTAACTGAGCATTTAAAAACACCAGTCCTATTCTTAAATGATTAAATTACAATGCAAGTATTTAAACTTCATTACAAAATTATTTAGGCATATTACATAAAAAAAATTTTTTCCATGTATGTATTATTTTAGAAATGTCCTGCAAAAAAATTAAATATTTTTTAATGAAAAACCTGTTTTTTTAGCAAAGGTAATGTTGTGGACTTTGTTATTGGAAATATTTTAATATTAATATCTAAAGTAAAATGAATAATCTCAAATATGTTAATTAATATTATATATAAAGATCATAAGAATGAATACCATGTACAATTAACGCATACGTTAAAAATTAATACGATTCACCTAAATATTTATTATCCAAGTAGTTATGATTAAAGAATAAAATGATAAATATAAGAGATCATTATAATTTAATATTTGATCTATTTGAATTAATTTTATTAAAAAAGTTAAAAGCATAATAACATTAATAACATTTTAAACTCGACTACTGTGGTGTTTTTTATAATTTTCCACAAACGTTGTGATAACTTACTGACTAAAATATATTTAAAAAAACGTATAAACTTCAATGTATTTTTAAATTATTTATACTATAAACTAGATATGTATTTTTGTCATATATTCCTGAAAGTTTAATTCTGTGTAGAAATTTATTTTCTTATTAGTGTTACAATACTGATTTTTTTTTTTTGTCTGTCATTACTCATCACTTATTGGATTAGTAATACATATTTCAAGTATGGTTTAGTGTCGATATTTTAGGAAATTTTTAAAGTAATCATTTTCAATATGATTAGAAAACTAAAAAAAATTGTTAAGAATAGCATTTAATATTTAAATTATTCTAGTTTTTAGAAAAATTAATTTTGATACTTATTTTTATTTTTTTAAAGAAAAACCACGTCGATGTTTGAAATGTTCACATAGCATAAAATAAAATTTAAAAATAAAATCCTTACCTATAAGTTTGATTGATGACAAAAATAACATATGTGGGAAAGATTTCCTCTTAAGGATTAAATTATCATTATTATTTTATATTTTACTAAACGATAATTTTTAAATTTCAAAATACAAACTCAATATTTTTATTTACTTAGTTTAATGACAACGACGTCGTCAAATGAAAAAAAAAAAAAAGGATCACAAATTAATAGATTTCTTTAAGTTGAATTATACACTTATTATTATGATTATTATTATTGATGTATAATTTATTAATAATGAATAAATTGTTGTAATAAGGACAGTTATGTTCTAATTTTCTTATAAAAAAAATATTTATTATTGTATGATTTCAAAATAATTTTCAACTTACTGTATATTTACTGATATTTAAATACTTTTACTTTTCTTTATTTATATCTTTATTTTTCCGATAAGATAATTTTCTTTACGCTAAAAATCTAATGGATTTAATACAAGATTAACTAACTTTCCTCTAAAATCATTTAAAAATGTATAAAATAAGTACCTATTAACAATGTTTTTATAAGCGTATAATTAAAAAAAATAAAAAAAAAAAATCATCAAAAACCATGAACATTGTTAAATTGACTTGTTGTTGAAAATAGGTAAAATGTTTAATTTTAATACCTGAAGCATGAATATTTTGTATAAAATTCCTCATAATTTGTTTTTTATAGTTATTAATTTTATTTTGTTTTGTCTAATGTTTATAGTTATTACCATCGATTATAGAATACTATTACTTATATCACTATAGTCAAGCTATTATTTTTCGTTTCATTCAAGTTTTATGCTAAGTGATAAAAGTACATAATACATATATTGTCTTAATAATTTGATTTATGTTAGTTTGTTAAGTTAAATTTAACCCTTCATCAGTGTGTTAAGGTTTATTAGTTCCATGTAACAATATTTTGTAATATACGTACTACTAGTGATTGAACTAGATCAAATTTTTACCTTCACGAAATCCTTCTTTATATTGTACATTATGATGCAAAAATGTTTTTTAGTTAAAAGTAAAATTTATTTTCTTCGTTAAATATTATAAAAATTTTACTAAAAATTAAAATTTTTTTTATATAATATTATTTATATGTTAGCAAATTGTTATTTAATTCAATTTTAATAAAAGTTGAACTATAATATTGCTTTTATGTTATTTTAAATTTTGGGATGTAATAAACTCCAACTTACTAAAAATACAAAAAAAACGTATACACACTAACGAAGGATTAAACGTACATTATATTATAAGACATTTATCGTAGATAACACACGTATAGTTCATATATTTACAGTTATGTAACTTTATAAATGAAATTTTGGTAATAATTTAAAATATCAAATAACTTTCCATTGTGTTATTAATTTGATTTAATTTGATATCCTTTCTAGTAAATGTTTAGAAAATTTTAACCTAATTCTTAAAACAAGATTTATATGTATTAGGTTATTAGATAAGTAATTTCATCATTGTTATGATAATTATTAAAAAGTTAACTAATTTAAGATATTAATATAAAAACCGCAGAATAATATTATGATATCAAATAACAATACATATTCAATACCAACACCGTTTATTATTTAGAGTGCAAAATTATATTCCATGATTGTATATAGAATTAAATAAGGGTTCTTGAGTAAGTCGTACTACGCATCAATGGTGTTTGTTTTAGTAAATATTTTACAGTCTATCCATAAATAAATGTATTGGATCCAAATTGATTATTACAGTGGAAGTAGTTCAATCTGTAACAAAAAATGAATTTAAATTGTGTTATGTTGTTTATTTAAACAATATAATGTGGTAAACACAATACGTATACCAAGATAAGAAAAATGTGGTGTTTATATAATATAATTTAATCAAATTGGACTTAAAATATATGTTTAAATATGTTTTTGTTTTGACTTACAGCCAATGGACTTAACTTCATACTGCAAGTCATAAATTTGAATGCAGCTTCACATCCATCTTGTTTATCGACTATATAATATACATAAAAATAAAAATAAATATTAATTTAAACTTGTTTATGATATAAAGATACTTAATTACGGTTATTAGTAAATATACATTATGTAAAAACATTTAATGTTTTATTCAAATTGTCTCATTATTTTAGACACCAATTATACTTGTGTACTGTATACATCTTCAGTAATTGTACTTAAACAATTTTAATATAAAAAAATTGTCTATACATTTTAAAGTTCTGAAAATATAATTGAATTATAAATTCTGTCTCATAAAAGAGTAACCTTAGATATTGGACATCTGTACACTGAGATGACAGTGGATTTGATTAACGCATACCAAGTGCTATGTTCTCGAGTTTGTTACTTTATTATTACGACAATTATATTTTGTAAATATTAACATGACAAAGACGTTTTTCGACTAACTCATGATAATATAGTTATATGAAAACCAAAGCTAGAGTAGTATACTATTTTTTTAAAACTTATTTAGTTGATTTATAAAAAAAAAAAAATAGATTACTTTAAATGTTAAAAATTATTATTATTATTATTATTATTTTTTTTTTTTAATTTTGAATTATACATTTTTTCAAAACTTAACATAAAATAAATAACGTATACATATTATAATTTAATTAAGATCTTACAATTTAAAACAAAATAAAATAATAGTTTTAAGTACTTTTATATTTCAATATTTTAATCAATAATAAAATTCAACAAATTAATTAAATTATTTATATTAATGTATTTTATTAGTTGGTTATGACAACACTTGATTAATTTATTTTTTAATCATAACAATTACATTTATTATAGTAATATAATTAAATAAACTATAAAAATCAATTAGTTAAAGAATATAAAATCTAATAAAATATTTAATTTATTTTAACATATTAGTAGAAATAAGTAGATATTATGTTACAACAGTATTTAAAGTAAGGTTTGAAACTAATATTGGATACCGATTTTGAATACCTGTTAAAACCGATGAAAAACGAATACGAAATTAGAAAAAATAAATAGTGATATCTGTATCCGAAACCGAAATTGGAAAAAATGTTTTCGGTTTCAAGCCGTGATTTAAAGTAAAATAATATGGACACTAACTTAGTTTTTTTTTGTATTCATATTAATTAATAACAAAAAACATGTACCATGATATCTGGTTAAATGGTATAACATATTATGACATGATTATCCATGTATATAATATTTTGTAAACAAATACACAGTTATAATATTATTATTTATTACGAATCATTACCAAATAATATTCACTGTAAACTATATACAATATGTCCTAAAAGTTCTCTATCACTCTTAATATCTCCATGGAAAATCAATAAATTTAAACAAAGTTTTTTTTTTTTTTTTACAGTACTAAGTATGGAAATTCTGATTAAATTACATAAAATTTAATTTTTTATTTTTTAAAAATTCAAAAATTGTCAAAATTGTTTTTTATACATTTAAGAATTTTAAATTTTTAAGATAGCCATTTTGTTAAACATATTTTTAAAGCAGTTCAAAAAAAAAAAAAAAAAGAAATATTAAAATTGAATAAAAATTGACTAAGTTTTAGAGCAAGCTATGTTTTTGAATAATTGTAATAAAAAAATAAATTGTTTCACATTTCAATAATAAAATATCTATTTCAGCATGAGAATACTTTTACATACCTACCTAATTAAAATTAAGATAAGACACGGCTATTTTTATTTCTATTCAAATCAAAACTTTTATTAGGTATGTAAAATATGTAAAAGTATTGTTATCCTTAATGGTCAAAATTTAAACTTAAAATTTCTATAAAAAAATAATAGTATTTATTTTTTGGTTTTAAGGGTTTAATATGAAATACTTCTGATAAGTTTAATATAACATTTTCAAGACTTTTATTTAAAATAATTTTTTTATAAATATCTAACTGAAAAATAGTTTGCAGTTTTTACGATATTGAAAATTGTTGTCAAACTTCTTATTTAAAATGCATTTAAAAAAAAAAAATGTGCAAATGTTATTTTGGTATTTTTATACAGATACATAAACAACTTTTATGGGTCCTTATGATGAATATATCTGCCGAAAAGCTTTTTATCAACTTCTAAAGAAAAAAGTTAAAAATTTCTCATACCAATAAATAACTTAAAAGAAGTTAAAATATTTGGAAATTTTATTGTAAACAGAAAATAATATTCTATAAATTTGATGAAAATTTAAAGCAACTAAATTTATTCGTTTTTTTGTTACATAAAAAAAAAAAAAAAAACAAAAGTTATTTTACGAAAAATAAGTTTACGTAAAAGTTGCTGTTTCTTTTGATTTTTTTCTGATAAAAATTTTTTTAAAAAAATAAGAATTTTTTATTTCGATATTTTTAAAATATAAAGTAATATAATTTTCTATCCAAAGACACCTCCACATTTTTATTTATACAAAAAGCGATGACAGACATAAAAAAAAAACACATCATTTTAAAATAAATATATTCATTGTTCCAATTAGAATCTAAAAAAGTTATTCATTATAAAACTTAGATTATAATTACATAATAGTATAACTGAGATTTGAATTTTTAATCTGTTAATGACCAGGTTTGATATAACTAACTTAAAAAAAAAAACTTATGGTATATCTGAACTGGATAAAATACTGTTGCTTCTTGAGGTTACTCGTATTCGATATTTAGTTAAAAATGGTTATCTCTATTAAATTAATTCCATGAAAAATATTACCTGGTAGACAATCATTGACTAATTTTTCTACAAATGGTCGTAATTTGTCTGTTGCCATTGATATAAGTGATTCTCCATCAATAATACCGTCTTCATCAATCTACTCATTATAAATAAATTATTAGACTAACTTTCCAACACAATAATGATAATTCTATTTATTATACATACCAATGACACCTCATCTAAGCAGCACCTTAAAAAACACTAAAAAATATATATTATATTAAAATGATATATATATATATATATATATATATATATATATGTTCTGTTCTGTTTTATTAAAAATTAAAAGGTTGTAAAGTGTAAAATATTCTCTATATGCTAGGTGTCAAGTGGGTCACTATAATAGGTATATTAAATTTGAACTCAATAACATATAAGTTTTGTGTGAAAAATGCAATTGTGTGCACACATGTATTCGATACTTAACTAGGTACTATATTCGTATCTATACCAGGAATCAACGGAAAACGTACCATCTAGTGCCACATTAAGCACTGTTAAATCCTCACAATTCTCGGAAGAACACTTCAATAACATCTTACTAGAAGGGTAATATTATATGTATTTACTTAAGTAAATTGCATTTCGTAGTAGTTTCATCGTACGTGAATTGCAAAATTTGCACCAACACCTATTGGCATCGCACGCTTGATGACCTTTGGTACTCGATTAGACGGTACAAAATGCCAAGATTCTATCTAATCAGCTAAAAATAATGTATCACAAAAAATGTTTTAATCAATAGTCATTCACCTGTATTTTTTAAAGATATCATTGACTTTTTACAACTAAGAAACAGTTTTATAAAAATATCGGTCCAAATAGTTATTTTTGCAGATTTACCTTAAATAATCTAAAATTATAAGTTGATAACCCTGACAAATATACAAAATTAATTTAATTTCTGAAATGAATCAATGTTCTATACTACTACATTTCTCAAATTCAAATCGACACATAAGTAAGAACATTTATTAAAAACTCACATAATTCTACCCTAGTCATCATCATAGCATCAACTATCGAGGATATAGGATATTTATTCAGAAAAGTAATCAATATTAAACTTGATCAAACCAAAGTATCTTTTATTGTTTTTTGCCAATCTAGATAAAATGAAGTGCTAGTGATATCTTCTAAATCACTTTTTTATTTCACACAAAAGTTTAAGTAAAATATCCTTTCAAAATATGGAGACAAATATTTCAATGCAAAAGTATCAACTGTATGGCTTTACTAGAACATGAATGAATTCCAAAGTGCGTCAAATATAGAAACAAACACCCTACTTTTGGAAGTATTTTCATACTTCCTGTCAAAATATGCTTTTTTCCAACTACAAATGTTTTACCATATATAAACAGAAAACCCAAAGACTTCTCAATATGTTAAGTAAAAGATCACATCTGCCGTAATCATCAAAACATCATATTCACCATCAACAACCAACGACTGAATACTCACCAAAATAGCGTACGTATGCTAACACAACTGAAAATCACCATCTTCCAAATAACAGTCCTTCTCCAACAGATAATAATGGAATTTTAATCTCCAAATTAATTGAAAAATGTTAGTCAATCATAATCTATCTTATTTCTTATCATTACTCCTATGTTAAGCCTTATTAGTTATTAATAACAAAAATTCTGATTAATAACATCACTTAAAATTTCCTTTACATCCTAAAATTGAACTAAAATAGCTTAACTAACTGCAAATATAAATTACTTAAAATTTTACAAAATAAAAAAATAAATATTGCATTGATCTCCAAAAACAATTTTACTCATTCGTCATATCTTAATTTACCTAGTTTTAATACTTTTAAAACTATCCATTCAGATGGTACAGTCCATGAAGTGGCTAAAATCATAATAAGAGTTTGGCTACTATTTCATCTTATACAACTGTAACAAACTAACTTTCAATTGTATGGTATTCACAAAATATTCATTATCTAGGCATCCACCTAGATTTTTGTCTGATCTCAGCTCACTTACTATATTCATATTAAGCAAATCGCACTTAACAACCGATATCATTAGCTATAACTATTCCTATATCAATCTGAACAACAGAATATTTATATTTTGACTCCTATAAAAACCAATATGGTCACATGACATAATATTTGGGGTTCAACCTAGCAAATAAATACAAATAAAACCCAAACTTTCCAATCTAAATGTTTCCGTTAACTAATCAAAGTTCTTTTTTATTGGTATGTCTCAAAAATACACTCCAAAATTACCTCTCCATTTCCACAGTTCAATAAATATCTAAAACTCTTAATTAACACTTCTACCCAAATATATCTTACCACTGCAATGCTCTTATCTCAAAATTATCTGTACTTAATATCCCTGTAACTCCAAAAAACGTTTAAAGCGCAAACGGTGTCGTTACTTTTTGAATGATCAAGAACCGTTTCCTACTATCATAAAGCTCCATCACTGGATGAATTCTTCTTTGGGACTGCAGTCAAAATTACCCCTAACCATTAATTATGCTTATTGTAAAGAATATAAGTTTATAGATAAAAGCAATTTTTAATAAAAATAAAATCATATATCATAATATGCGAAAAACGATTATGAGTGAAGACCATCTGTTATCCTGTATTACTCAATATATTTATATATTTATTAATTATTGAAAAAGTTTATTTTACTTTTAAAATTATGGGTAGATTGATATATTGTTCCCCAAAAACATTGTATTTATTTATATTATTAGTATATAATTATTATAATACTATAAACGAGTATTTAAACTATAATATTATATTATTGTATTTTGAGTTAATAATACTTTATTGTAAAAACCGTAAAACATTGTTATTAATATAAATAGACAATAATATTTTATAATTAAATTACATATTTTAAAAACTTGATAACGCATAATAAATATAATATATGAGTACATAAAAAATTGAAGTTCTCATAAATTGTAACAAACTAATAATAATTATCATCGTTCATCATCGATAAATTACGTAATTTAGTAAAAGTAACGTATATAAAAAAAAATAATTATGTTCGTGTATATATTTTAGATTTTTTAGTTATATTATTAACTATTTATGAGAAAAATTGATTATATTTTCAAATATTTAATCTTTATTAAATCATACTTCAGCTATAAAAAATATAAACGTGATACGGTTTTTACTTAAAAATATTTGTAATTTGTAAATATTAAAAGATTTTAACGAGTTTTGAAATATTTGAACTTTAAATTCGTATAAAAAAAAAAAAAATGTGGCAATATATTTTTAATTTCTTTTATGTGTATAAAAACAATTTATGAAAACATTGTATTGAACTTTTAAAAATTTAAAGTCAGCAAATAATGAATTATTACTATTTATATGTATGTATATAAAATAAAAAAAAAAAAAACAAAAAATTATGAATTTCTATAAAGAACTTTAAAAGAGTTAAAAATATACTGTGTAGAAAATGATCATATTATAATCATTTAGTGAAAGTTTCAAATATATATATTTTTTTTTCGTTTTCAAGTTAAACTAAAAAAGCGAAATCGATATTACGTAAAAATGCTCGGTTTTTTTTTAATGTTTTGTTTACTTTTCCTAATGATTTAAAAAAAAAAAAAAATACTGATAATTTGGAAACGTGACCTCTTTAAAATACAAACTAAATTTAATTTTTCTTTCTAAAACTATCTTCAAAGTCAAAAAATCAAAAATATTTTTTTGGCTATTTATCATGCATACAAGCACACACCAAAAACAGATATTATTGTAAAATCAACAAAGTCTAAAATAATTTATAATTTTAAATATAATTATATTATTTTATTTTAACCGTATTATATAATTATGTTGTTAAAAAATGTCATGTTTTTAAAATAGAACTATACTTTTACTCACTTTAAAATTGTTGTCATCAACTATTATTCCATTTTTAGCATTATTCTTGATTTCTAAACATTTTTTTAGAAACACATAATGTATTATCTATTGTTTTATTTATGATTTACACAGAATTATTACCTTCTGAAATTGGAAACTTTTGATAACACGTATTATAAAGTGTCTTTTTTAGTTCTTCAACTTCGTCTGGTTGTGGTCGTGCCTAAAAAATTTAATCCGTGTAAATTATATTATTGTTAAACACTGGAAAAACTCAATGATAATTTATTACACTTACAGATGATTGTACTACCAACAATGCTATTACAATTGCAAACACAACATTTGTGCTACGTAAATGTTCCATTTTACTTCACAGAAACAACTTGATTTGCTTTAGTGTTCTGTCAGTTGAAATATATTAGTGACTGAAGGCAGTTAAGAGTATTTATTCTAGTAGAACATTGTAGTCAATAACGCAATAAACTATAATTTTAAATATCCTTTCATATTATCTACCATGTGTATACTTATTTCGAAATCAATTATTACGTTATGTATTATTTCCTCAATACAGACCCCACCACCTCAAATATCGTATTATTGTACTAAAAATGTTATGTGTATTATTATTATAATTATCATGATCAACGAATCGCTATTTTATTTTAATACGAGCATTCCAAATATTTTTTTTTAGAAATGTATCAAACTTTATATCATAATGGATTAATATATAAATGTGCATTCTTATATTTTTTATATTATCTATTATATTATAGTTAAATTATTATTTATAATTTATTATACATTTGTTTATTTTTTTTTTTTTTTACTTAGATTTGTTATTTACTTATTAGTCCGAATAAATATATATATATTTTTTTTTGAAGTTGTATACAGACAAAAAATTAAAATAAATGTTTTTTTCTTCTAGACTAATGTATGCATATAAGTATGATTTATTAAACTAGGGTCATTAAAAATATTTACTCATTTTTTTAATAGAAAATTATGTGCAAATATAAAATAATATGTTTAATATACAATGCATTCCGTTATGTTTGCGTATAACAGTTGAAATACAATATTGTTTACACTGTGTTTGATAGAAAATAGTATTATTTTATTTTATTTCATATTATAATTACCTGTGATTTGAAATATATAGCTCATTTATTTATTACAGAAAAAATCTGTTGTATTTATTAGTAATTGACTTGATTGAATGATATACTTATGATATTTTTTATATAGTTTTATAATAATTTATTTACATACAAAGAATGAGTATATCTGGTGGTCATCAAACATTTCACCATAGTTTAATAATATATATTAATTGGAAAAAAATATTTTGTGCTAATATTTAACATTAAAACCTTAGAATTATATATCGCAAATTAATTTTATAATTGGTGGCGATCAAAGTACAAAGTACTGATTATGGGATGTCAAGATAATAACCCTAGAATATTTGTTTTATTCAATTATGTCACAAATACAAACTCATCGCTCTTGCTCCTTCAGAATTCAGTAGCAAATTACTGCAAGGACAAATTTAGATATTATTTGGAATAGATTTTTTATTAAAATATTAAAACGAAATACATAGTACTATAGAAAATCTGTTTAAACGAAATTATAACCACTCTTTAATACTAAGGCTTCTGCCACACCATGCGTTTTGGCGGGTCCGGTTAAACTGGATGCGTTTTGACCGGATGGCTTTGACCATGTCACATCTATGCGTTTTTGTTCTTAAAAATGTTCCCGCCGCTGCATTCAAAGTTCCAAATGTCACCGCTAGTCTTCAAATTTGTAATCAACAATATTTTGCTATTGCATCACATTCAACGTCCCTACGCTCTTTGATGGTAAACCTATATTACTTACTTGTTTTATGCAGTGTTATTTTATTATATTACTCGTCAGTTATAACTATATAAATTATATAATAATTTAAGTGTGTCTAAATTATAATATTTTTGTGTACTTCTACTTGTGTAATTTACTTTTTGAACACGTCATAAGTAAGTAAGTAAGTTATATTACTTAATAGTTATTAGCACTTGCACTTTTACATATATTCAATATTAGTTATATAATACTTAATAATTTATTAATATATAATATCTAATATAATTAAATAGATTAAAAAAATGAATCGTAAAAAGATTAAAGTTGTTGCTGTAGCTGAAGCATTAGGCTTATTAGATCCACCGAAAGTACAAAGAAGGTATTGGGTACACCCACTAAATATGGATCGTGAGAAAATTGGCCAGTTTAGGACATTTTTTGAAAATATTAGACAATATCCTGACAAATTCTTTGAGTATTACCGTATGTCTATCTCCAGCTTTGATGAATTGCTAAAAACACTGCGGCCACATATAACAAAAAGTACAACAGAATTTCGTAATCCGATATCTGCTGAAGAACGTCTTACATGCAATTACTATAAGGTAAGTTTTTTTTTTATAATACATACCTATAAGTTGAGTTTTTCAACGTGAGATTTATGATTATTTTAATAAGTAAACAATAATCATCCTTAGTTATCATGAATTAAAAATAATTATTTTAAAACATAACTTCTGTAGATAATAGGTTAACAGATAAACAGTCAATGAGAAAAAATGTAGTATTTAATTTTCATTTAAGATAAAATATAATTTTTAAAAATTAAATACATTAAAAACACAATATAATACTTACTGTATATTGTATAACAAACTTTGTTATTAAAATTTGTAAAAAAAAAATAATAAAAAATAATAATGTCATACCGTATAAAAATTAAAATATAACATACCTTTTTAAATATCATTAAGTACATTATAAACACAATATAATATATTTTACTGTATAACAAACTTTGTTATTTAAATATTTAAAAAAAATAAAAATAATAATAAAACTGTTTAAAAATAAAACAACACGCCTTTTAAATTGCAGTAAATATAATATTATTACCTACCTCTACTTATTTATAATATCAAAATTTCCGTACATTTCTCCACTGGTATTAGGTTGTTGAGATTGATCAGATGTATAATTATATGAGCTAGTATATGGCAAGGGTTGTGGGCGTTGTGGCATAAGATTATGATTTTGATTGTACCCCAAACCAGGGTTGAACTCTGAAGAATATACATTTGAATATTGAGTTTGGATCGGGGGAATTCGAGTAGTGTTTTGATTAATGTTATAAGATGGCGGAGTTGGTTGTAATTGATTAGATCCTAATGATATGTTCCTAAAATACTGTAAAGTCATGAGACGAAAATCTGTTTTTTGCTCATAGTTAAGACGTTTATAATCGGGTAATAAGGAAAATAAAAATGCCTTATCAGGATCAGATGTGACATCTTCCTCGGAAGTAGATAAATTTTTTAATAATTCTCTTTGAAATTGTGTTATTTTTTGTACCTTGCATTTATTTTGTTTTTTACTTTTTGGAGTAGAATATCTATCCGATTGAGCTGGTATAGTTTCATCATATATCTCTAGCTCGTGTGACGAATCTTCTCCGCTGATATTTTCTCCTTCTCCTTCTTCATGTACATTTTCATCAAAATTACCTGTCGTTCTATGAGTAAATAGAAAATAATTCGTTTAGTTCTCATTACATTTGAAACAATTCGTAGGCGCTTTGGCGGAACTAGGGAGGGGAAGTAGAGAGAGCTTAGCCTCCCCTGACAAAGATTTAGCACCCCCAGAAAATATACCTTGTTAACTTTAATATTTGTTACATTTTACAATTTTTTATTAAAATATTTTTACAAAATTAACATTTTGTCAAAACATTTTTTTTTAAATTTAATTTAAATTTAAATATAAAAAAAAAAAGTCGGCAAGCGGGTATCGCTCTGCTGTACATTAGGGGGTGGGGTGGACCTCGGACTAGGGTAGGTTAAATTTGAATGCAATGATAGGTATCATTGTATACGAAAAACGTTTCTGAACGGAGATGATTTGTCAGTCTAGAATATTTAACGTTAGATATAAATATAAATAATTTTATGAATTTTGAACTACAAAATAATTTGCAATTAATATTCATGATTTTGACGAGATCTTGTCAAAATTTGAACTTCAAATTGACCCCCCAAAGTACCACCTAGATTCAATTTCCTTTTCAAAAAAGGGGCTGAAGTCAAAAATCGAAGCATTTTTACTGCTCTAAATGTTGTCGACAGACACAAAAAAAAAAAAACATATCATTGTAAAATCAATACATTCATCACTTCGTTCAGAATCTAAAATAATAATAATAATAAATTTAAATATAATTATATTAATATAATCACCTTCTCTTTTTGATTACATGCTGCAGAAATGAGAGTGATTCTGCATATACATATTTTTTTTTTTTAGCACTATCACCACTTTTCCCCTGATTTATAAATTTTGAGTAATGGTCTCTTATGTGTCTCCATTTGGTTTTCAAGTCTGTCACTACAATTATATTAATTTTTATTCTATATTATTATTATAAATAAATAATCAAATTAGTTTAAATTAAAATTTGGATTTTAACCTATCATATATTATCAGAAATAAAAGTCGCACATATTTCGCATCGTGGGTATTCTTATAATATTTGAACTTATGAAAAAAAAACTGTGCCTATGCATTAGCTATTTTTGCCTAAAAATAGCTTAAAGTAAGCGAAATATTTTGAAAAAATTATTTATGTAAAGAAAATGCTAATTTAAACATCTGGTACATTTTTAATTATTACAAAACTCTAAAATCAGAAATTAGAATCTAAAAGGCTACCAATCAAAATGTATTTATTAATTAATTATTTCGTGTTTCTTAGATATTTATCAACTGGTACATGCTTCTCCGCATTAAAATTTGATTTTTGTGTGGGAAGAAGTACGATTGGAGTGATTGTAAAGGACACATGTAAAGTGATATGGTTAACATTGAATTCAAAAGAGATGCCTAAACCGACCACTGAAGATTGGGTGGAAATATCAAATATATTTTATACGAAAACTAATTTTCCAAATTGTCTAGGAGCAATAGACGGAAAACATATAAGGTGTAAAAATCCTAATGACTCCGGTTCATTATATTTTAATTATAAAAAGTATTTCTCAATCGTTTTTATGGCAGTAGTGGACGCCAATTTAAATTTTGTTGTAATCGATGTGGGTTCATATGGTCGTGAAGGGGACTCTAATGTGTTCAAGGAGTGCGCTTTTGGTAAACAATTATATGAAGACAAATTGAACATACCAGAACCAGTTGTTTTACCAAATACAAGTGCCAATCCACAACCGTATGTATTTATTGGAGATGAAGCGTTTGCTTTACATAAAAATTTACTTAGGCCATACCCTGGACGTAAACTTACTGATTCCCGAAGAGTGTTCAACTATCGATTATCCAGAGCAAGGCGCACAGTTGAATGTGCATTTGGAGTACTCGCGAATAAATGGCGTGTTTTACATACGGCTATCCAGGTCGAACCAGATTTTACCGACGATATAATAAAAGCGTGTTGCATATTGCATAACTTCGTTCGTAAAAGAGATGGCATAAATTATGAAGATTCTCAAACGCACAACTTTGAAGATATTGAGGCTCGTGGAACAGGAACTCGATCGGACGGAGTTGAAGTAAGGGATTACTTTGCGAACTACTTTATGGGCCCAGGAGCAGTTGATTTTCAATATGATATGATTTAAATTTTAAAATAAATATGTTAGTTTAAGAAAAAAATTATTTTTAAATATAACATTTATGTATTAAATGTATTAAATAATGTAATTTTTATCTACAATTTACATGATATAATAAGTATAAAATATAACTTAACCTTTATTTTGTTTTGCACGCTCTTCAAGCTCACTCCAATTTTCAAACATGTATTCGCCAATCGTGTTCCAACTTTGTTGTTTTATGTTCCTATCCATATAATCTTTTGATCCAATTTCCCATATGGAAGGGTTATTTTGAATACAAGATATAAATTTATCCGTATCAAAAACCATTATTTTAGATATTTTAAAAATTATCAAAAAAAAACACTTAAAATGAAATAAGTAATCAATTATCAAGTTCCTACTATATTTATGTAATATATAATTTATTATAATTATTAATTATGTGTTTAATAAATAATAAATTTTCATAAATTTTCAAAAAACGCAGCGGCCAAAACGCATAGTGTGGCATACACGATATAAAATTATGTGTTTTGATGACACGTCCTGCCAACTTGTTTCCCGCCCGACCGCAACATGTTGCGGTCATCGAGCGGCAGGAATCGTCAGGTCCCGACAAAACGCACTAGTGTGACATCTAGAATAAGAACTCTTGTGAGTCGTTAATCCGGTCGACCGGATGCGTTTTGACCGGACCCGCCAAAACGCATGGTGTGGCAGAAGCCTAAGAGTAAAATTATCTTGAATTTGTATACCCAAAATGAACCAGAACTTCATAATTTGTTCTATCTACTAGCTGATTATCGACATTTTCAAGACATTGTCAAATAATGAATTAATTTAAATATTTAATTAAAACCTACATATTGACGTTTCACAGGAATCTGATAAGGTCTAGAATCAAAGTTTCATGTCCAAAATAACAAAACTGGAATTACCAACCTATTTATAGAATAATGTGTTATTTTCATTTATTACAAATCGCACATCTTAAGTACAAATAGATATTGATAATCCGATAAAGGCAGGGATTCACAGAGGTCAATCCTTGGCCCCACCATGTTCAATACTTTTCGTTATGATATCTCAGTTTCACAAAAATTTAAATAGCAATGTATGCAGACAATATTGTTATCGTAACACAATATACAAATCTTAATAGCTCAATAATAGATCTACAAATCTCTTTTCACCAAATTTCAGAGTGGTTCACAAAATGGAAACTCGCATCTAACCCAAACATGAGCGAAGCAAAAATATTCATCCTAAGTAGATATGCAAATCTAACTCAATTAAAAATCTAAAATCAACCCATAACATGGAATAATAAAGATCAATCAATTAAATATCTTGGAGTTCACATTGATGAAAAATAAACATGGAAAATGCATAATATAAATAACAAATTAAACATCGTGTATACGACGATTGAAAATCTTATACCCCCCAAAAAATTATAGCTGTACACTTCAAATTAAATGCTTACTTATCATATGCATTTTAATAATAATACCATTAATAATATATTATGCATGCTTAACACGAGTAACTGCATCTCAAACAAAAATAAAAAGTTATATACGATACTAAACAAATTTCTGAGAATAGCTCTAAAAGCCCCAGGGTACGTTAAACACTCAACTCTACAACGACACTAGAATACCATACCTAACCACATGGATAAATGAAAAATTTCAAAAATTTTATTCGAAATCAAACTCAATAGAAGAAGGCCTTCATTTCAAAATCGGCAAAAAAACCAAAAATAGCAGACAAAAAACACGTTTGCCACAAGATGCCTTTCTACCTTCAAAATTAAAAATTTACATCATCTTCATCATTATCGGTATCATTGGAACAATGTTCAAAGATAATAATGCATAATACAAACATAAGTTCAAATAATTTATTTTATTATTCTGTTATCTAATTATGTAATTTATTATCAAAAAAAAAAAAAGAAGATTTTGTCAAAACAATTAAAATTTAATAAAAAATAAAAATAAATAAATACTGATTACATAAATGTAGCAATAAACAGTATCACGATTTTCATAAAAATATCAGCCCAAGTATACCCTAATGTAAATAAAAACTTTGAAGCACCTTATTAAATAATTTAAAATATTTAATCACAATACATTACTTACTGGCTAAAATATAAAATTCTTTGAAAATAACTTTTTAAAATAGGTTTTGTGACCGATCGATGATATTTCTGTCAAAAAATTTAAATTGTCTATTATCATATTAAGGCGTAATATTTGCATAGATTTTGTGGTATTCAAAAAAGAATACTGTGAATTTGTTTAGTATAATTTTAAAATGATATTGACTGTATTATAATTAGGTACTATACGTATTTTAAAATTATTATTATTAAACTCAAGGCTTGCAAAGGTTATAATAACGTTATGATTATATCGTAATACTTTACAAAAAACGATTGAAATTTGTAAACGTAATTAAAATGAAAAACGATAAACATAAATAATAAAATAATACAAAACAAAACATAATGATTAACAAAATATATGACATATCATCAAACATAACAAAACACAAAACGTTATATTTAGACATATAGTATATCATATGAAGAAATAATTAATTTACAATTATTTAATAGTTATAAATTATAAAATATAGGTACTAAGCATTTTAACTCTAACTAATGTTAAATGCAAAAGTTGAATAACGTTTTAATTCTGAATGATGATAAATTTAAAATTTGTATAATCTTTTAATTGTGAATAGCGTATAACAAAATTTTTTTTTCAAATGCAAGTACTGTTATTAATATGTATTCTATTACTCACAAGTTAAAATATTTATTTAGTTGTTATGCTTTTAAATACAAATAATCAATCGATAAAATATTTAAAGTTAAAATTTACTCTGTAGCTAACTTAATGTTAGCCATGAAAACGTTTTATAGGATTAGTTTATAATTTGTACCAATACATAAATATGTAGTCATTTTTATTCATTACAAATTAAGATATACTTTACTATATTTATTAATCTATGTAATTCGGAGTTAGATTTTCATTCAGTACAGTAAATTATGAAATATATTTCTTTTAACTTTTTTTTTATCTTTAATGCTAGACAATTTATTTATAAATTAAATAATACTTTAAAACACACATTTAAATTATGGTTAAGTAAATACAATACCTATGTAACTTAGTAAATAAATCTAAGTTACCGTGATTCATTTAATATCCTGTTTATTAAATTTTAGCAGAACAAAAAAAAAAAATAGCTAAATTATGCTAGTTATGTTCTAATAGTATTAAAATATAATTGTTTTGAAAACAAAATAAATTAAAATACATATTATTAAATAAAAGATATACATTTATATTTTATTTATATACAAATAAATTAATATTATTTAAATTATTTATTCATAATCTATCATGTGATCTAAATAAAATTCCGATTATCTTGTAACAATAATAAAATAATAATAAAGAAAAATACAATAATAACAAAATCATTACATTATAATATTATATATAGTGTATACAGTCAGGTATGTATGCCACAATCTCGCTGTCATATTTTTAACACACATTTTAGTATTAAAATAACCACAAAACCATTCATGGATTATTTGTAATTTATTTGCTTTGTATTGAAGGTCAGTATTGGTTTAATTGGAATATACAGCATTTTATTTGACTAGATGGCAATAACGTCGGAAACATAAAACGAAAATTGCGTCCATAATAGTCGGTAAATTCATACAGAGATCGTTTTAAAGCTGCAGTAATGTCTGTTTGTGTATTTATTCCTCTTAATGTTTTTCCTCTCTAACGACTGTGATGAAAATATACACCGGTTATAAAACCATAATTATTATGAATTGTGTATCACACATGGGAGAACAATTTTCAACGGTTCCAGGAAAATAATTCGATCGGTTAACTGAAACGCACAAAGTTTAGTGAATACAAGTATTAAAATCAAGATTTGAAATCCACAAAATAAGAAACCTAATAAATTGGTATGTGGTAAAATAAAATGAAATCGAATACTGTTTTGTATTATTGTTTGTTGAATTGATAAAAATATGTTACGTTTCTAAATGTATTATATTTTGAACAATTCCGAATAGTGATTTTAACGGTAATAAAAAAAAAAAAAAAAATAATATTCCTATTGCATTCAGTACTCTCACATAGTTATAGCATAAGGATTTGTGTCTTTATGTCTCCTTAAAATAGAAACCACTTCAAATCCCGTCCATGTACTATGAACTAAAAAATTACGTTTAGAAAAATGAGAAAATCGTGTTTTGCTATAAAGTAAGCGTTGATTGTACTTTGTTATCGAGTGGTGTAAATATGTAATGGGTGTATCACATTTTAAATCAAGAGTTACACTTGGAAAACAATTCTTCCCAAAAACATCTTATCAGTCAATATCTCTAATGCTATTTTTTTATTGATAATTTATCCCTCACAAAAATACTTCGTTATAACTAAATGTAAAAAGAAGCTAAGTTTAAAAAACAATTCGTTTATTGACATAATTTCATAACAATAAAATTATTAATAATTATATGATTTATAATGTACAGTTGTTAGTCTTATAGATTTAGACAATGAAGTTGCACAAATTAGCTATACATTCAATTCAATTGGACAATTCTCGTCTTATTAATATACTTGATTGTAGCATCTACTATTTTATTTAACCTAACATTACACCCCTATCGTCACATGGGACTCATAACTGCTAACAGTTTATTTTTTTTAATAGATTTTTTTTTTTTTTTACCAACAATAAATCACATGTTTTATTATAATAAAATAATTTATGTTATAATATAATTCGATAAAATATCACTAATCATTATTAAGTCAATACAACGTTCAGTAGACAAATGTGAATACATTTTGGAATAAACATATTTTTATAATATAATTATGTAAATATTAAGTAACGTAGTGGCGTGACTTTTTAAGTCCTACAAAAAAAAAATTTAGAGTTACAAACCAATAATACTGTCAAATATTGAACTTGAAATATTCATAGAAACATTTTTGAGTGTAAACATTTAGTGTTTGTAAATAGACTTATTTGTGGTCTTAAAAATATTTTCTACTTAAGTTAAGAATAATATTTAATAGCTGTTGATGTCAAGAGCAACAAATATTTAAATATCAAGAAAGTTATCACACAGTGAACGTGTAGGTTAAAAATGCATATCCATACTTCTTTGGTTTTATATTATATATATATATATATATATATATTGTATATACATGAACTATATTATATACAAATGCATACAAATATGACAAACCATTTTACACAAATTGTTTTAAGGATAAAACAACGAAAGTAATAAATCACTCTTGTTAGGTCAAACAGACATCGATTTCATATTGTAAGACAGTAGAAAAAATGTAACTTATAGATTCCAAAGAACATAATTTTGGAATCCACTAATTGTTTTGTGTTTGTAAAATCATACTCATAACTTTATGTATAGAGTTTAATTAGTATAAATTCTCAATTAGTTCCTTATAAAATATATATGGTTCTAAAGTATCAATTTCAAACCGATACAACATTCCAGGACATTGAACGTTAGGTCACATAAGGTCGAGTGTCCTCCTAGGTAATTTATTCAAGATCATACGTGACCAACCCTTGGGAGAGAGATAAATCAAATTCAGACATGGCTTGTGAGTAGCGATTTC